AACACAAAAAATATCCACACTTTTGTTGAAAATGCTCTTCCTCGTCCTTCAACGCACTCCCAACCTATCATCACCCCTCTCCTTTTCTTTAAACACATCCTTTTTTGTTCTTCGTCCCTCTCCTCCTTCAGGTTTTTAAAGCGCCAGTCGCAGGCCTGGAGTAAAAAATGGAGCAAGATAGCACTCCCTCCTTTTCTTGCTGCCTATGCCATGTAGATGAAGGTGTTGATGTCTGCCTCGTCCCTCTTATGTATTTGTGTTTCGAATGAGCCACTCGATCTGCTCCTTGATCATCTTCTTCTGAGGCAGAAACATGTTCTTCAGGATCTCCACCAGCTCCGTCTGCAGCTGGGCGTTGCTGATCCTCTTCCTCATCTTCATGATTTGGATGATGGCCTCCTGAATGAAAAAAAGAAAAGATAATATTACAGTTTTATTGTTTAAATTGTTTGGTAAACCCATCTATATGCTTGCGTCAAACAAACCCTATTTCAGTTGGAATTCTACTGTGTCTCACATCATAAATAGTCACATCGTATCCCTGATGTGACACAACAGCGTTCTAGTTCAGGAATAAAACCTGAAATGATGCCCACGATTGATGAGACAATGTGATGTCTCCTACATAAACAGCAGAATACTGAGTTATAACCAACCAGTCTGATGTGTGTAGAGGTGCGTGAGGTTCTTTTGTAGCAGCTTGGTGTGATTTATTTCAGTTAAACTCCAGTGAAGCACTTCTAAAAACAAAGGCTGTAGATTTATCCACACATCTGTCTTGCAGGTGGTTGCAAGAATTTAAGAAGGTTTTCATACAATATTATGCTCGCTCAGGGTGGTGTCTCACCATAGAAATAGGGTCCTTGGTTTCAAGAGAACAAAATACAGAATTAACATGTTTTCTACCTTTAGGCTACAGTCGGTCTGCCTCTTTAGAAAAAAAAGAGTGAAACCACCAACTCCATCATCTTTAACTTTAGCAGTAAAGATACAACCTTCAAAGAAACAAAGATGATGAGATGAACAAAAAGTCAACAACATCAATAACAAAATTTAGGTTTAGACTTCAGCTACAAGTCGAACTCTCCTTCCATTTCCTCGACTGCCCAACATCTACTTCTTAACCCTCAGAGACAATGTGAGTATTATATTTTCATACCTGAGTTCTGAGTATTCTGAGCTGAACAATTCCTTCATTCTCCTCTTCTCTCATTCGCTCTGTGGTCAGCTGCAGCCGACCAATCAGATTGATCTTTCCCCGCTTCTGGACTTTGGAGTTTTTGCTGAGAGAATAACAGACACAGAGACACAGACATTAACAGTCTTAACAGTCATTTATAGTGAAGTGTATATATTCCAAATGTCAAATTTAATTACTTTACTTTGTATATCAGTGTCGGTTGTAATATTGACACCTTTTGCATATACACTACATCTCTTGTAACCCTAACCCAAACTTCCACATTCCACGGTATCACAAGTTCTTAGGAGAAAAAAACAAAAGAGACAGGAAGTATATAACATCTAATATCCAGAAAGACCATAACTTACATGAGTGAGAACTCCTGGTTGACGTAAAAGAGCGTGCTGTCTGTGAAGTCTTTGGGCGAGCTAACTGGAGGGTCATAAGACAGCACCTGTCTCTTCAGCTTGGGGAAGGCAACCAGAGACTGCACAGAGAGGAGAGAAGAGAAAGTACATTTTAATATTTTATCATCAGTAAGTCATAAATACTGCAAACATGTGTTTGCTCCCTTCCTACAGATGCTACTAGAGCTGTATCAATATGTAATTTTTGAGACAGATAACAATTTTAAATAGCTTGTGCCCTGATATGACGGCTACTCAGAAGGCTGCTTTCTTAAACAGATAACTTTATTAAAGAACATTTAAGTTAAATATACTTTTACATGTTAAATAATTTAACATACATTGTCAACCAATTCTACCTGACACTGCTGAGAGCTGCTTGTTACAGTATTGTAAATCACAGCGCACTCTGCTGGATAAACTCTGCAGTGACCTGCCTGTACTGTAATAGACGGATTTAAATCAAGTGTTTAAAGCGTTTCTTTGGTCTGACCCAGAGTGTCCGGCGTAGCTCTGCATCAGGCAGCTCTGTGGCCAGTTTGAGGTTCTCAAAGCTGATTCTCTCTCTGGGTCGCTGGTTCCAGGCAAACAACACTGCCAGCTGGAACGTCGTCACCTCCAGGTCGTACTGACCCACCTCATTTTTAAAGGTGATCTGAAAGCAGATAAGATGAGTTGTGTCCTCTCACTGGCGAAATGGAAACACAGTTTTGTTTGGTTTGAAAACCTGACAACTGCTGAAAAGAATACATTATAGAAAATACTCAAGACAACATCTAAAATTACTTCTCGCTCCCTCCCATCTTGTTCTTCAATTCATTAAGTTCAGCTTCACTATAATGCTGCCACTGCTTTTAAGGTAGCTGAACAGTTGTGGATGAGAAAAAGACAACAGACAAGAAGAAAAGACACAATGAAGAGGAGTGAAGTAATAGAAGATTAAGGAGAAATTGAAGGAGAGATTACATGAACAAAAGGAACATTTATCCTAATAATTATCAAAAACAATTCCTATATTCCAGGAGTGAAAAAACAGTATTTTAACTCCATGAGATTCTGATGGCTAGCTCTTTATGGTAACAGGAACGCTGAATGTTCTACTTTTATAGCTCACTCACAATGCCGTTGGACATGAGGTGATGCCAGTGGAGTTTGCGACCGCTGTGATTCCTCTTGTAGAAGTCTTCCACTTCAGGGATCAGGTCCTCCAGCTCCGTGGGCAGAGAGACAAAAACCTTCTCACTGCTACGTGACCAAGCTCCGGCATTCAGGATCTTAATGTTCACACTGTCCGCTGCAAAGGGAAAGGGGGAGATGAACTCTGATAAAGTACAGCTTTAAAATATATTCTTTCTTCAAGAGCAACATTGATGTTTGAGAAGTTTTATCTGTGCAACAGTGTGTGCACTTAAACTGATGAAGAGATTTACAATTTACTGAATTTAGTGTTGTTAGTGTTCATTTACCAAAGACTTTCAACTGTGGAGCTATTTTGAGAATGGAGGATCAGAGAAAGGAGAGAAAGACATCGTGGGGTTTTGGAAAGAAAAAAAAAAATTACATTTGCATGATTTATAGTGACGAGGTTAAAGTCGTAAATGTGCTTAAGTGCTTTTATCAAAAACCCTTTTCAATTCGGCGTTCATTCACTCATTCACAAACACACACACACACCATTGGCAGTGAGCTACCATGCAGAACACCCGGCTATCCATCAGGAGCAATTAGGGTTCAGTGTCTTGTTCAAGGGCACTTTAACATAGATGGGAGATGCCAAGAATTCAAATGCCAACCTTGTTATCAGTGGACAATGAGCCATAGATATTCTTTCAATGATCGTATCATTAGTCTTTATTAGTTACACAGATGCACCAAAATAAAGCTGTGAATGGTAAATATCCTCATACCATACCAAATCCCGCTCTGTTCACTCAAACCAGACTTGTATTTAGTTTCTCAATAATGTTTAAAATGCAAATATTTCAAAATACATCAAAACCCTGATTGAACAGTGTTATTACACTAATGTAGCCGTGTTCATGTTCTCACAGGTTATGGTGTCTGCTGCATAAAAGAAGTGATAGAAAGAAAAATGTATGAAAGGGACACATTACTGCAAAGTGCTAATGTTCTACTGATTTGTACTCTTGTCACCATCTGGTTTATGTTGTTTTATGTAAAGTGATTCTGTTTCTAAGAGTCTAAGAGACTAAGTGACAGCTTGTTTTGTGCCTGTGTGTGTGTGTGAGTGGAGGGAGAGAGAGAGAGTGTGAGTGTGTGAGAGTGTGTGTGTGTGTGTGTGAGGAGGGGGGTGGTACCTGGCAGTGCCAGCTTGTTGTGTTTGTGCATCTCTTTGAAGACCTGATTGAGGTCCTCTGAGACCTTGATGTCCTGAAACATCCTGGCCAGCTTGTTCACATAATCGGCAGGCATTCCTACTTCCTACAACCACACGAACAGACACACAAACACACAAACACAGGACACCAAACAACACAAATGAAGAAAAAAGAGGACATTGATGCGAAGGAGAAATTCATTCACTGCATACCTATTTTCATACATTATTCTTCTAGCTAGGGTTTGTTACCGAACATACATTAAAAGAACAAAATGTTTCTATAGCACAAAGTAACAAAAACTGTCAGATGTCAAAGCTGGTACATATTGTCAATCTGAATGTCTGAGTGATAATTTAAGAAAAGCGTCACTCACTCTCAGCCACTCTACCATGTTCTCTTCAATCTCGCTGTCTGCTGAAATGTCCAGAATCAGGCGCCTGGTCAGGTGAGCTTTGTGGTAACGCATGAACACGTCTTTATTCTGAACATATTTCAAAACCAAGAGCTGAAAGGAGAGAGGGTCAAAGACGAAATCAGTGTGAGAATAGTGGAAAAAGACAAAAAGCCAGACAAAAAGGGCAGAGACTCACCACTTCTTTGAGCTTGAGCTCGATTTCCTCTGAGGTGAGTTTCTTGCTGAGAGGAGTTTTCCTCAGCAGCATGTCACAGTAGTTTGCCAGAAGCTCGGGACACTTTGACTCAGGTTGAGTCTTCATACCCACACTGGTTGGATGGAGATACACACACATTCACATACACACCACAACATTGTGACAAGTTTTACCGAAGTAAAAGATAATCCTGCATTGTCAGTTTGGGACAATAACGCTCCAATAGGACAAAACAGATAATTCCACTCACCCTTTCTGTTTCAAAGGCAGCTCCAGCTTGAAGATTGTGGCGTCATTGACAACAGCCTTGTAAGCCTGCGTGTTGAGAAACAGAAAACATTACCACCACTGTCATAACAGAGGACCAAACAAGTAGGACCAAACATCGTCTATTAATCAGTTGGTTATGTCTTTGATTAATCAATTATTCATTTAGTCTATACACAGTCACAAAATACAAAAAATATAACAGTTTCCCCCATTCACACACACACACAGACTCAAATGTTCATTGTGAACATCGGTCACCATAACTCAACTCTCAAAAGTCTCCACTTTAATTTTTTAAAGATTTAAAAAGATTAATCTGATGACTCAAATGCCTTAAGCACAGAGGAGTTATAAAATATTTAAATTATTCTCATTTAGCTGGTTATTAATACTTTTAAAGATGTAGGTTAAAAAGGATAAAACTGACCTTATCTCTTGCTGTGAGGAAGCGAGGGTCGTCCTGGAAGGCCTCCTTTACCAGTTTACTGAAGCGGTTAAACAAAGTCAACAACTGCTCCACATACTTCTCAGAGTCCTGGACAAACACACACAAACACATCTGAAACTACTGTACATGTTGTGAACACTGTATTATTCCATTGCTGCCAATAGATCCTCCCAAATGTTACACACTGGACCTTTAAACCACACAGTATCATTTTGACTATAAATAACTATGAAGACATAATCTGACTTACAATATTATTGTAATATTATTAAGAAAACAAGTCTGGTGATGTCACTCATGAGGCAGGTAATCTAGTCCAATAGATATTATTATTCTACAATGAAACACCTCTTAACACTATAGCACTGTGAATGGTCTCTTATACTTCTCCGTTTGCAGCATAAATACTTTTAAAGTTTAAACACGACCACATATATAAGGTGTGCACGTACAGTAGTGATAGTCTCGGCAGCAGCCACCATGTCTGCTAGTCCAGCATTGACGATATGTTCTTCTAGGTCTTTCAGCATGGGCTCGATCCCGCTGGGAACCTTGTCCATCAGTGAAAACATCAAGTGCAGTTCTGCACAGGGAGAAGAAGAAAGAGAAGAAAATCTGTGTTAGACACAGGACAAAAAGCTGGCTGAATACAAAACTTCCTGCACTTAAAACTCATAGACTTTACAGCTGCGTAAGTGAAATCCAGAGTGTCCTAATGTACTTAAGTCCACATTTGGCCTTAAGCATTCTTCCAGCAGACTTTTGTTACCCATTATTCTTAGCCATATTGATCAGATACAACAACTATGACTACTCTACTGTACTACTACTGTTACTACTATAAAGCATTATTAAACTGGTGCCTTATAACGCTGTGGGTATTCTGCACTGCCCAGCAATACACAAAGGTCAACAAAGCTAAAACAGTAAAAGTCATGGGGAAAAAGACCATTAAAGTCTAGCTGACTGCAATAGTGAATGTTGATGCCACTACCTCTAGCAGACATTAGTTTGTGTCTTAAAACAAACAAGGCTCACTTTAACATGCTACGTATAAAAAAAAAAACTACATGCCACTGATGTGCAGCAGTGCAGCAGTACTCACTGTCGGTCTCGTTGCGTTTGATCATCCCTGGACATTCAGCGAGGATGGTCTCTTTGAACGAGGTCACCAGAGCATTCACACAACACTCCATAAGCTGTGAGAACACACAGACACAAATTCTATTCATGCTTGAAAAACCCAGTAAGATCTGACATAAGAGTCCATCTGACTTTTTACCAACCCTGGTTTATTTGTGATTGGGCTGTTAAATCTAAATCAACAGAAAAGGAACAGAAGCATCTGGTACAAAACCTTCAGTCTCTTATTCTTAAAGAATAAAAGAACTAATTAATTATGCCGTAGAACGCAAACAATACACAACACAAACAAGCTGATATTATTGACTAATTATAGTTTATCACAAATAAAAACATTAATGTAACTGCATGCCGAAAACTATTTGCTATGTAAAGATATAGTGGAGTCAGCCTCTCTGGTCTGGCTGTGTGTGCATGTTAGTGCATGACTGCCTCCAAATAAATAAATTCAGGGTGGCATGAGGGAAATATTTGTTAAACAAACAGACAATAAACACGAAAAATAAAATTGCTAGTATTGATTCTCTTCAGATCCTGTCAAAGGCACTTACTGCTCCAACAGAGTTACATTCACGACGTGTCTCTAAATATCTAAGTGCTCTTTTCTCCTCTTCTCTCAGCTTTGCATCTGCCTGCAAGGTAACACACAACAAGACAAAACACAGATTAAAAGAATCAAGGTTATGTGAATACTCTCATTCACACAGCCAAGGTAACAACATTTTTTCCACAAATTTAAGCTCAATGTTATATCAGGATGAAAAACATGTCTGTCTGCTCTGCAAAAAAACAAGATATGCCAGTTTGTATGTTTTCTATTTCTAACTATTCACAATTGCTATCTAGCCTTGACTTATAATCAAGTTGGAAAAAATCAGTATTATTGTGACTTACATATTTCATGTAGTTCTGGACGCCGTTCTGTTGCAGGTAGGACGGTGCCTGCGTTCTGTAAAACCTCTCTGTGGAGTCCAGGTACGCTTTCTCAAAGTTATCCCTGTAGATCTGCAGCTTGTCCTCTGGGTTCGAACACAGGTTCACTGGTGAGAGAAGAACAGAGAATGGGACAAAAAGTGGTCATTAACTGGAGTGTTTTTTCTTACAATCCCCCTTCCAGATATTTACCGTAGAACTGCAAAATTAAGAGTTTATTTGAAATGACAAATTTGAAATCACTATTGTATTGTGCCCTCCCATGTGTTTATTTCTGTCTGTCTTACCGTATGACTCTCGTACTCCTATAACAAGCTGGGAGTCGAAGGCCTCCCCTTGTCTCTCAGCATGCACCAGCTTCATGGCGCTGTCCTGCAGGCGACTCTTAATGTTGGAAAAGATTGACTCGTTCCACGTGTCCAGCATCAACTAGAAAAAGTAAGGGCAGTAATAAACGTGCATCAGGTTTATCAAATAGGTAAAGTCCATTTCTTGCCTTCCAAGAACAGTTAAGTCCAATTTATTTATGAAGGGCTTTTAACAAAACTTCTTCCATCTGCCTGCTGAATCATATTCACTCATACACAAACCTTTCACTCTATCCACTTCTTCCTCTCACCTTGCGTACAATGCTGTCTTCCATGTTTGTTTTCTTGTTGCTGCCCTGTTTGCCCATCAGCGTGATCTCCAGCTGACAGAAGGGTTTGGGCAGGATGTCACACTGGGTGAAGAACTTCCTCCACTCTACGATGTAGGCCTTTAGCAGTGCCGTGTCGTCCTGGTGGCTCAGCACCCGCTGTCATGGCAAGAAAGAGAAGAAAAAGTTAGAGGAGGGTACAGGTCAACCCATAAATTGAATATAAAGAAACACCCTGATGCTTTGTTCCCTTTCTGCTCTACATGTCTTTATCTATCACTCTCCAAAGCAATGTGGTAATGAACAGCAGCATCTAAAAACGGACCAGAACATTCAGTTTGTCCGAGACTAAGGATGTTCTAGGGGACCAATTCTGAAGTTTGTAGAAAATAAAAATGTAACATACGAGGGTGACCATTAAAAACAGTCGCCCATCCTCCATCTGTCCAGAATCCATCTATCCTACACTTGTATTTTAGTTACTGCAACCTAAGGGACAGACCAACTACTGATGTGCAAAACTACGACAAAACTTTATTTTCCAAACAATTTCACTCAGAAATCTTGCTTGCTTGCTTTGTCACAGCATAGTGTAGATAATTATTATAAAAGTAAAGTCAAATAAACATCTATACACGTAGGAAGTGCTGTTCAGGGACAGGACTCCTCCTGCAGATCTCATAAAACCTGTTTTAAACTAGCCAAGCTTTTGCAAAATGCTTAAATAACCATACTTCCAGTACTTAGCTATACACATGTAATGTTGCTGTCATATAAGAATCAAATAACAAAAACAGGAAGCCAGTGTTGTAGACAAAGACAATTAAATAATGCCTGTTGTGAGTGTAAGGGATGCTCTCCTGTTCAGGATCCACGGATACATTTTCACATCAGTTTAATTATTTAACGTTTACAGAGATCAAATTCTGCTGCTGGTTTTATATTATCTGACAAACACTGAATCACAGGATGTTAAATTGGAACATTTAATTTCTATTTGATCAACACAAACAGACAAACAACAACACAAACCCATAAAAAAATCAACCAACTCAAACAAACTACACGGTACTCACAGCCTGTGCTTGTTTGATGAAGTCTAGGATGTCCTCTTTGAGGGCTTGGTGGATTTTTGCTGGACCTTTATCATCCCATAAACACACAGCATGGACATCTCTGGATGTAAAAGGATAAAAAAAGAAATAGGATATCACTAAAGTTCATTCAAGTTCATGATTAAATGTGAATGAGAGCATGTTACCTGTTACACTTTACAGTACAGCACATGTGACTTTCAGTAAGGTGATGGTGCAGCTTTCCATGCAGACTGCTGCCACAGAAAACGACATGGCTTTGGGAGGTCATGGTACTTTCTAATATAATTTTTAGTTACCAGGCAACAAATACAGTTCAGCTGTGATGTTTCTTAGCATAAAAACTTAATTCAAGTCGTTGAAGGCTTAAAATAGTTTTAAAATGTAAATGTCACAATCAAGGCACTGAGGAGAACAGCATGTAAGCAATAGCACGGAGAAATGTAGTGTCCATCTCAGAATGAGGTTTAATTTCAACCCAACATCACTGGTCACTGAGAGGACTGCAAACACGGACAGACTGAGCTGTTCCCTTGTGTAACTGAGTTTGTAGGGAAACACACCAACACTGCCAACTGCTGCCTGGTAATGAATGCATAAGACACATACTTAAATCCTGCAACAACTTTTTATTTTCACTGGTTTTGTGTGTGACTCCTGTAAACAATGTAACTCAAACTCTCCTGGGCCTTAACTCAACATGTCTCAAATCCCCACATGACATGCAAAAATATCCCTTCTTGAAATGTGACCTGTCTTTCCAGAGGTCTTGGAGGAGCTTATAAATGGTAATTAACTCTCCATGTTTCTGTTCCCCTCTTCTCATCCTCTTTCTCAATACCAAAGAGAGCAATCACCAACTTCCTCTTCTGGATCACTTCTTCTATCAGGTTAGTCAGACATCTGAAGTCAATTGTATTTATATATCTCAATATCACAAATCATAATTTTGCCTCAACGGTTTTACAATTGGTACAGCATCTGTGACATCTGTCATTTTAACCCTGATTTGAGTAAAAAACTCCCCCAAAAAACATTTAACAGATGCAGAAGCTTGCAGATTGTACATAACAACAGTTTTTTCCAGTATATGATGCAGAAAAAACAATCTACCAACATTGTAATTTTTGTCTTAACACAAATTTGTATGTTAAGTTACACCACAACATCCTAGTTCATGGAGAAAACATCAAAGCAGGGAAGAAAATGACTACCATTAAAGGTCATAAATAAGACTTAAAACTGGCTGCTGAAGTAACTTTCTATTATAAGAGCGGCTGTCCATCAAGTTGTGGCAGTTAAGCTTCGCAAGCAAGAGACTTTTCTAACCCAGTTTATGAAAGGGACACAACAGGCTTATGACATTGTGTGGGGATTATATAAAGCACAACACCTGTTGCTAAATTACATGTGTGTGCTGCTGAAATGCACCAAAATAGTAGCAGCCTGTTGTGCCATTCAGTTAAGTAAAGCAACTGTTTTCAGGATCTGAAGCAGACGCAGTAACAGCTGCACTGACCCTGCATTGGACCACTTTTTCAAATAAGACAGAAGATACCAAGGGGCAGAGAGCATCTCTTACGAGAACAAGTCGAACCACTGTTGCTTGGTGACGGCCTCCTGTCTGAGCAGCTTGAGAACGATGGGCCGCATCAGATCCCATTTGTCCTCAAACTGCAGGGACCCCTTGTTCTGGAGGAGAGATATGGGACGGGTGGAGTGGGAGGAAGCACAGGAAGCATGAAAAACAGCAAAAGGAATTGAGGTGTCGGGGGAGAGAAAGCAGGAGCAGACAAAGACGTTCATAAAGAATGACGTTAGACCAAAGGCTGAGATTAGATTTTCAAATGTTACTGCAATAGAATAGCTTTTAATAGGTTTTAATAATTTATATTAACAAAAGCAAGTTTTAATTAAGCAGTGCTTTTCATATCAGACTTATGATCACATCTATTATTACGTTGTACCAGACTAAATCACTTTTGGTAAAGTGGGAGCCTTGCATTGAATCACTGGTTGGGTTACACAAGAAAAAGAAGAGAAATTACTTTAAAAGAGTATTTTTCTAAATGGACTCATGTACGGTGCACTCAGTATTCAGACATTCAGTGTGCAATATGACCCTTAACACAGGTGCCTCCCATTTCTCTGGATCACCTCTGAGATGTGTCTACACCCTGATTGGACTCTACTGTGGTAAATATCTACTTTGGTTGGCCGATTTATTGTCCTAGAAATAATTGCAATAAACAATATTGTAATCTTAAGACCTTTCTCTGCCACTAATATAATGATATTATAATAGGTCATATTTGAGCTCGACCACGTATCTGCAGTGGAAGGAAAGGAAACACGCTCAGACACAGAGAGCAGACGTTGAAAGGACAGAAGCAGCCTGACCAGGAGTTCAGGCACTAAACATATATTGTATGATAAGTCGATATATGTGGCCTAATGAATTTGATTGGACATTATTTGGAAAAGCACACATTGTCTATATGAGGTTTCACAGCTAACAATGCATATCAGAGCCAAACATTAAGCCATGAGGTCGAAGGAACTACCAGCAGAGCTCCCCGGCGGGATTGTGTCGAGGCACAGATCTCCATACTTCTTAAATGTAAGAGGTTTGTAACAACCAGGATTGTTCCTGGAGATGGCAACGTGGCCAAACTGAGCTAAAAACGAAGATCACTCTAACTGAGCTCCAGAGATCCTGCGAGGAGATGGGAGAAACTTCCAAAAGAACAACCGTCAGCAACACTCACATCAATGAGTGGCCAGAGGGAAGCCTGCGTGGAGCTCGCATTAAAGCAAAACCCTCAAGGACTCTCAGACTGTGAGAAAAGATTCTCTGGAAACCAAGATTGAACTGTTTGGCTTCGATTCTAAACATCATGATTGGAGGAGGAAACAAGGCACCGCTCATCCAACAGTGCAGCAATGTGGGGGCGTTTTTCAGTGGCAGGGACTCGGGGGAACGCTGAGAGATGAGATATTCTTAATGGAAACTCAGGACCTGGTATACACTGACATACACATATACACTATATATACATTATATATATATATAAAAATAATGTATATGTATATTTATAGCCTAGATTACCTGTGCAATCTACATTATACACATATACATATACATTTATTTCCACTACCTCCTGCTGTGACCTGTGCAATGTCACATACCAATCACATCTGTACCTAAAAATCTTATTTTTCTATTATATCTTGTATTTTATCTCCTCTTATGTAATGTGTGCTCTGTAATCCAATGTGTTGTTATCTGGGGCTGCTGCAGCCTGTGAATTCCCCCAGAGAGGGATCAATAAATCTTATCTCACTTTGTATTTCAGCATCTATAATCAACTAAAACACCAGTAAAATAACAGCCAGCTCCTTTATCAGCAACCTGCAGGTCAGTGTGCAGCTCCACGGGGGGTTAAAGACGACACCTGAACGAGCCCAGTCCACACACAGCACCGACAGCACCGACACGAACCGACAGCACCGACACGAACCGGTCCCAGGTGATGTTGAACGGGGCCTTGCGGGCAGAGACGATAGGTTCATCTTTACCGGCTGCAACAATTAGACCCACAAATAAAAGAGCTGTTGACTGGAAGTGGGGTCAGTCCCCCCCTCGAACCGGGCTCTCCAGTGCTCTCCGGTACCGGGTTTAGGGCTTGACACGGATCTTATTCGGCTCTGGTTCGTCGCCGCCGTGAAGCCGGATTGTGGTACCGGCTCCGGCTCCGGTTGGGGTGATAATAACGGAAGAAGACATGTTTGTGGTCGGTCAGAGGACTGGTTCTTCTCTTCGAGGCTCAGAGAAATAAATCCGACACCGGACCGGACTTCAACAACGACACCGGGGCAACTGTGACTTCAGACGCACCTATTTGTGCATTTATTCAATATGTTTACACTGTTAGTGCACATGCGTGTGTGCCATAACAGTGCACACGTCCAGCTGCAGCATGTATTAAAACGAACACTTTAAATCTGCACACTAATATAGGAAATATCATATATTCAAGTGCTTCTTACCTTTAACAAATTAGACGTCGCCATGTTTTTCAACTTATCACCCCGCAGAATCTCGCGAGACTGGATTAGGTCATAGTAACCCTGCGCACTGAAATTCACTTTATTGTGAATAAAAACACAATAAATTAATAGACACTGTTTTCTAACGTTACATCATTCTTTTTAAAGGATGTGCATTTAGTACGCAAGTAAAAACAAAGAGTCACTGCCTCTACATCATCTACATCTGGAGTTGTACCACTTATTCACACTTATTTGCACAAGACATTTGCATAGTCTACCATAGTGTAATTAGTCTACTGTGCAAAGCTTTTGAGCATGATTTAATTTAAATTTCCTTTCCTTTCTAAATGCAAATATATTCCTCAGGGGATCATAAAATGTAATGTTGTGATTTGTCTGGATGTCCACAGCTACTGTTGCTGACAATGACAGTAACATACATTGTCAACAATAGCAGGAAAGAAAAAAGAAATTAGTGGTGAGATAAATACAAATTTTAATGACTTTAGGAGGCAAAACAATACAAAATGCTATCCATCTACCCATGTTCTTTAATGTATGGCATTAAATATATAATGAATTTATATCAAATAAAAACAAACAGTAAGAGTTTTCCAGTAGACCAAGTTCAGTTTTTGACATTTTACTTCTGTTCAAACATTTTATTTTGCACACATTCACTGTTCAACTGTTAATATTCTCATTGTCTGCCTTTACTTGTGATACAGGTGTCTACAGTATGGATGTGGTACACTGTCCTCTGGTGGTCAGTGGGATCAGGAACAATTAATAAATTGTTGTGTCTGATTATTTGATGCCAGTGTTGTCTTTTCATTAAGTTTCTGTGGCATTTGTGTTTGTTTGTTATATTTTTGCCAATCATTTTAATTTTTTCTGTCCAATGTGTCCCATAAGATTACACCCTAATTTACTTTTTTATAAAAATACTGTTTTAACTGATTTTAAAAAACTTACTACTGTAATGTATTCTGTAATGCAGAAAGAAATAGATTTATTACACATCTGCTGTCTTCCCGTAGCCCTCTGTTTTGGTGGCATTGTGGTGTTCGTTGTCTGCTGGTACCCCTTAAAGGAGCCCCCTGACCTTCATTCTGCATTGCTGTTTTAAAGTACTTAAAATACTGAGTGATTCAGTTATTTTGACAGAAGTGAGTCAGTTATATAAGTTGCTCCACTGTGCTGCAGTCAATTAAGAGTTAAGCTGAGAAAGGAAACAAGAATCAGGTGCACAGACGCGTTACAGGTTAGGGCTGGGCGATATATCGAT